TTTGATGAATGTTGTTTTTTATTTCACGTACAGGAACCACGGAACACAGTAAAGAGAGCACAGACTCAAGATTTCAATGTCCATTCTGTTATAACTAAAGCCTCATTATTAGCCAGAATTTTAATTTCCCTAACCTTTTCTAAGTATCATGAGATGAACCAGAGCATTTAAACATACTAGAGAAAGAATGTAAACTAAATGATTAAGAATTATATTGCACAAGAGAAGAAGGGTAGGAGCTACTAAAATTAAAAATGTGTTAAAGCAAAAGCATCAACAATATATCTACATAGTACGAGAAATGTATTTCAGTATTCATTGCCAAATATCTCTGTCAGGTTAGTGGTACCTTTCATAAAATTTAGTTCGGGCACATGTCACCGCAACGACACCACGACTATCCCCACACCTCCCAACACACGTGGTCACAAGATGGCGTGACTCTGGTACAGAGTCAATTTGTATTCACTGCGAGAAAAAAAAAATGTTCCTAGTTTTCTTTAATTTGAGCATATATTCTCTCAAACAAAAACATAGAGCCCATCAATGTGCTAAAGGCTGCTTGTTTTCTATAACTCCTTTAAAGGTCTCTGTTACTGGAGAATGTAAAGTGGAAGTTTTAAATTTCGTTTCACGGATTTATCGTTTTAATAGGAACATGGCTGTGAGTGTTCCATGAAGTGATGCAAAATGAAACAAGGCTCTCTGGAAAAAACAATATGCAGGGACAAGTTTTCGTTGAGTGTGTTCTAGAGTCTGACCTGTGTGGTGTCAAGAAGGTGCAGAAAGCTCTGTGGGAACAATCTCTAATGACCTGGGTTGAATACTTCACTGAGACCACTATAAGAAAATGGCACTTAAATGACATTGGAGTAAATTTTCAACTTTAAAAACATGCAATTAAGGCTCATTTAAATGTGGCAACTAAAACTAATTTACTAAAAGCAGATGATCAAGTGTTACTTTCCATTTCTAGATTAGACATATATGATAACTGAATACACGCATGTTATTCAAAAACAAGTAAAACCAAAAGTATTCTTACAAAAATATATTTAAAAGTTCTCAGATGACTTGATGAATCTGTTACACAGTGATGAAATGCTTTTCAAAAGGATTTACTTTGCACAGTTTTCTATGGGCACGCATTCATGTTTTCCACTTTCTTCCACTTTCTCTTCTAATTCATCTAGCAGAATTAAGAGCACGAGTGTAAAGTCTGGGGGAAGCACACAAATTTGCCTTAGGGTAGAAGCACGGAGGAGAAGCAGTAATGGGAGATGGCCAGAGCAGTGACATAAAGAATGTGGAAAGAAGACTGAGATTTCAAACCATAGCTCATTCAAATACACTCCCCTAAAAATGATGAGTCCTCTCCAATCACATTGGCCAATCTGATGTTTCCCTCTGGAGGCTGGTTTGGATAAAATGTGAATGGGCTAATATGATCCTTTTGTTGGTTTCTTTAACTTTGAGAAGAAGCTACCATGTCATCTTTTAATGACCTGCACAGTCATTTCTTGTCATTAGCATGTATTTGCTTTGGCAAATGTGTTCTGTGAGTTCCATTCCTCTCTCAACGCCCACCCTTGTTCACTGTTTCATAACCTCCTCCCTCCAATAGTTTGTGGGAGTAGAAAAAAAACATGAAAGAGGGAAAAAGGCAGCTGGTTTCCACAGAAAGAACACTAGCTCTGCGAGCCCTACCCTATGGTAAGCTAGAGCACGCTCCACTGGCTCAGGGTGTCCGTTAAATTGGTAGGAATTTGTAAGCCAGTTGATAAACACATATATTATTAAAAACTAAATAGTATAAAGTTAAATATAAGTAAATCATATTAAAAACAGAGGTACTAAATATTTAAAACATATCCCTTCCTAATTGTTTTACTTTATGCTTTTGAGGTTATTTATGCCTATTTTATCTGTTTGACACAAATAGTACTTCAGCTTGGCCAGCATGGGGGTATTTACACCAAAGAAATTGGCAAATGCTAAATATCAACATGTAACATTGTTTTGTTGATGGTCTAGAGTTAAGAAAGCAACAGGTAATTTTTTTTCTAATAATGTTTATTAAACCTAAATGTGTCATACCATTATTGTCAGTAGCACACAAAAAAAATGACTAAATGATTTTCCAGTATTTGAAAATTTACTCAATTCAACCAAGAATCTGCTCAGGTACAGGAGAAGGTCATCCAGGGGTCATGACCTCCAGCTGACCCTTGAGCAGCACCAGGACAATCAGAGGCTCCTCACCCTCTCCTGGACTTGGAATGTACCTTCTGTCCACTGTGTTCACAGTGGGAGCCATTTCAAGGACAAAGCCTTGAGAGCCCCATGTGTTGTTGAGACCATCTGGATGCTATGTGTGACTGAAACCCATTAAGGCCTCTATACAAACTTTAAAGGTTCTGGCAGGGGAAGGAAGGTACAGAAATCAACTCATCTTGCAGCTGCCCAAGACAAGCTTCTATGGAACTTCCCTTGCTAACTGAACCTGCCCCTGCCAATCTGAGTGGTCTACCTCTTTCTTCAGTGTCACCTTGCCCTCTGTGAGGACGGCCAGTTTCAAGCTGCACCAGGGGAAGCTTCCCCAGTTGCAAACCACCACCAACCATGTCATTGGTAGAGAGAAGTTCCAATGTTGGCTTCCTTGTTACTCCTCAGAGTAAATAAACACACTCACCAGCATTCAAGTCAGCACTAGGGAGCCAAGAGCTCATCAAATTCAACAAAATGGTTCTGTCAGAATTAACTGGCTATTTTGAATTTACAATTAAGAGTATTATATGTTTTGTCATTGCTATTCATCAAAAGAGTGCTACACATCCTATGTATTACACAGAAATGTGTAATATACACAATACACACATGTGTTTTGTTTGATATCCAATTATTAAGTGTTTACTTTACTGTCTCTACCATACAAAAACCATTGATCTGGAAAAGTTTTTAACTATGAGTATCACCTTCCTCATCTGCCAACTAGTGAAATGGGGGCCTTCTTCAGATGATAATTTTAGGAGTAAAATAAAATAGCATGTATGGAAAAACCTTATATGGGTTGCAAATGTTAATTATTATCATCAGTTCAGCAAATATATTTCACCTTCTAATATGAGCTCTCCTAGGGACTTGCAGGGTTTGCAAAGATGAGGACTGTTTGATCCTTATCCTCAGGTTACTTACAGACTAGCGATGAGAGATACATGTATATAACAAAATAATTTAAGGGGGTGAAGTGTGTTTGGCAGAGGAAAAAGCAAAGTGCTATGCAATTTAGGAAAAAGACATGATTGATTTTGGTGGGAGCACCATGGAAGATTTCATAGATAAAGTGGAATTTTGAGATAAGCTTTGAAGAGTAAGATGCATTTGTAGCAACTGAGAGGGTGTATTCAGGATGAAAGATGAAACACCAAACACAGTATCATCACAAATATTATAATACCAACTAAGGAAATCATGAATGGGTTGATAAACCCCCTATATCAAAAAACCTTACCAACCATGTAAAATGGAAAGAATTATGTTATTATAGATCACACAACCCATTGTGTCTATACACAACCCAATGTGTCTACCTACAGTCTTGCTTATATAAAGGCTGACTATTCAGTTTTTACAATTTATAAGCCATGTCCATTTCTCATAACTAAAGTGTAAATTATCCTCTGTTGTTTTTTTTAAGAAACGATGTTCAAGTGAATTTTAAAATTATTTTTCAAGAAAATGCTATAAAATATGTCCTATTTAACAGGACAGAAGAAACTGTCCCTTTGATTTAAAGAAAAGCAGCCACTGATTTCAAGTCTATAAGTCCATAAATTATACACTTATTAAGTGAACAGTGAAGACCACATCTAATTTGAGGTTTTTATGGGAGACTGGAACACTGAGGCCAGGGAAAGCTGAAACCTTTTACAACATCCATGGGAACAAGGACTTAACTATTAAAGGAAGAGCATAATTTTAACCTTCAGTTAATGAGTCTCACAAGGGTTGACATTACTCATTAAACCTCACTGAAAAGCGTTTTCCTCTTGCTAGTCAAAATACGCTAATGTTTGTGACTTTAGAAAACAAACAACGCTTTGAGGAAAGCTTGGCAGAGCCTCTACAGTCTGTCTTAAATTTAATACAAGGAAAACGTCTATTAATCTCTCATACACAAAAGTCTGACACAAAAGGTCTGTGGCCTTGACCTGAAGTGACAACGCAATAGACCCCAGGGCCAGTCTAGGTCCCACTAGGACATATGTTAAGAAAAGCATTCGCTTCACACTGAAAGCCCTTTTGCTCTCCCCTAACCACCGCGCGCTACCGGAGCCTTTCAGTCTGTTCTCTCCCTACTGACAGCTGTCAGTCTGTCGCAGTCTGAACATGCAGCATTTCAACAAAATCTAAAGCGAAATTGTAAGGGTAGGGGTGGAAACACTTTATTTAAAAACGCACGGCCAGACCTCAGTTCTTGGAGATCAAAGAGTCCTCAAGCACCACTTTCCAACCCGATAAAGGTTAAGAACCACCTCCCTGGGAACTAAGAGTTGGAGCTGCTCCTGTGTCTTCAGAACCCAGGCACCTTCCCGTGGAACGACGTTACTGGGAAACCCGAAGGAAAAAGAGCCCACGAGTCCCCACGAAACTTCAGCTGGGATGCAGCGGGTGCTAACACCAGTTTTGCATCCCAGGAGCGGGGAAACCGCGCATACCCTGGCGGCTGGGCAGCAGCCACAGGACCTCGTGGCGACACCCGGTGGGGGCGCAATGAACCCCAACTCGCGGGACCAAAAGGGCAACCGCGCCCTCCCTCAGGGCAGGCGTGACCCGGTGAGTGCCCGCGGCAGGAGGGCAGTGTGAGTCCGGGCTGAGCGGAGGCTGGGAGACAGCAGGAGCGCCAGGTTGGCCGGCCGCCCCGCGCCCGGAGCAGCGGCTCCGAGAAAGGAGTCGGGAGGCCGGTCCCAGGGCCGGACGGTCAGGGGTTAGGCACTCACCAGCTGCAACGCGCAGAGGCAGATGAGTGAGCAGCGCCCGGTGCAGCAGCCCATGATGCCCGCGGCGTCCGAGCGGCGCCCGCGGCCAGAGATCCGCGTCTTCCGGCGCCGCCGACTCCCGAGCAGCCCCCGCCCGGGGCTCGCCGGCCCGGCCCAGGCTCGCCCTCCCCGCGGATGTCGCTTTCCCCGCTTGGGTCTGCGCTGGGCTCGCCGCCTTTGTTAGTTTCCCGGGCGGACAGAGGTCAGTACGGCGCGCACAACGCGAGCGTCTGGCGGAGGTTCCTGCCTCCCACTGTGCGGGTCCGCTTCTTGGGGAGGGGGAGCCGGGCGGGTGGGGCGGGGGGCGGAAGGGAGGCTACAGATGGTGAGTGGGTGGAAGTCTGTTTAGGGGAGGGGAGTATGTAGGAGGTGGGCGTCTGAAAAGTGGAGTGGGCTGTCTGCGTAGCGGGGGGGGAGAGAGAGAGAGAGAGAGAGAGAGAGAGAGAGAGAGAGAGAGAGAGAGAGTGAGTGTGTGTGTGTGTGTATGAATGAAAGGGAGTGCCACTGAAAAGGATGGCCTGTGTCCTAAGTCTTTGAAGAGAGAGAATGAAGGGATTAAGAAGAAAGAGGAAAAAACTCGTAGACACAGACAACAGTATGGTGATCACCGGAGGGAAAGGAGGTGGGGGAAGGTAAAAGGGGGTGAAGTGGGGGCTAAATGGTAATGGAAGGAGACTTCACTTAAGGTAATGAACACACAATACAATATACAGATGATGTATTATAGAATTGTACACCTGAACATATATAATTTTATTGACCAATGTCACCCTAATAAATTCAATTAAAAAAAGAAAATGAATATAAGTGAGCGTGAAGCAGGGCGTCTGGTGGTGATGGAAACCATCAGCTGTCCACGTAACTGGGGAGACCCGGGCTGCGCTTTCTCGCTTGGGGTGTTCGGGTGTTGGGAGGGTGATCGGAGGAGTGTGCAAAGGAGGGGACAGGATTTTGATGAGCTGCCCCGTTACTAGAGAGGATGGGAGTTGAGGTGGTTTGGTGTCCGGAAGGAAGGGCCCAGAGGCGAGCAGCTCCGGGCTGGCGAGCGCGGCGGAGCGCTGGTGGAGCGCAGGCGGAGCTCCGTGACCGCGGGGCTGCTAGCGCGGGTGGCCGGAGAGGGACTGCAGGCGCTAGGCAGGCGAGTCCGCTCCCCCTGGCGCCGGGTGCTCAGCTCTCGGAACTCGGCGACCGGGTCTCTCCTACCACAGTCTGTTGCCCAAAGGGCACCCCAGCTGGAGTCTGGATGGGAAAGTTGGGCTTGGACCCAGATGGTCTGGAGAGAGGAGATGCGACGATGTGATGCGCGGGCTCGCAGTGTGGCCGGAAAACACAGGAACGGCCAGCGGAACCTTTTGAAATTGGCACCAAGCGTGAAAGAAGAAAAGCCGAGAAAGAAGAGGATTCGTGGGTTTTTCTACGAATTGAATTTTTTTTTCCCGGGATGAAGATAAATATAATTTCTTCCCAGGGAGAATCAAGTTGTTTGAAAAGAGGTTGAAAAGAAGACCTGGTCCCGCATAGTAAAGAACTGAATGGAGGAGGTCTGCGGACAATGATGACGTTTCATCTGGAGGATCAGCGTCAGATTTCCTGGGTTCCTTTGTCGTAGTAGGTGGAACTAAGCAAGTAGCTCCAGCGCGCCAGAAGAGCAGGGACAAGCCTCCTGGCCATTTGTCTCAAAAGAGGCTTCTTCATAATTTGGCACAAAAACCCCGTTTCTAACCCACTGGTGCCCTCCTGGGTCCTTAGTGGTAGGTTAGTTAAGTAAAGCAAGAGATCTTTACCTTACCTTTAGAACATTCTCTCTATACCTGGAAACTGCTCAAACCATCCTTCAGGAATTAAAGGGAGTTCTGTTTTTATTTTAGTTTAGTTTAGTTTAGCAATTAAACTGGCTTTTTCTTAACTGTTTCTTGAGAAGTTATGCGTGTAACTTAAAACAAAGTTCTCAGGAAAACCCTTGCGTGATATATTTGAAATCTTAGTGGAGACACACAAATAATCTCAAGTATTGGGTCAATAAAAGTGTCAAGAACATTCATTATTTTGGTTTCTCCTTTGTTCATTACTTTGGAGAAAGGAAAAAAAATTAGTCAGAAGCCTTTTTTTTTAGCCCAGTCTTTAAGGAATCAGTGACCAAGGATCATGATCATGCATGATCAGAAGTATGGAGGGCATGCTTCTTTTACAGAGAACATAACCGTCACCATGCATGGTGGATGAACACAATTGGAAAACACAGACCCTGGCAAATAAATAACTTAGCACATAGAAAAGAACAGTGAAGAAAGTTTGAGGCCACAGACCCCTCTGAAAGCTGGAGAGGGAGGAGACATGAACAACACTTATCTACAGCTTCCAGAAATTAGTGTGGCCTGTTCCTCTCCAGAGATGGTACTGAATTATGATGATGAACATAATGATCCGTCTTTCCCTCTACATTATATGTTTACCCCAATATATGTTTTCTTTTATCATCTTATTTATTTATTTAAGAAATACCAAATTTTGCAGCTAACATGTATTGGGTCCTTGCCAGACACCAGTCTAAGTGCTTTACGTATATTCACTTCATTTAAACCTACAACAGCCAGGAAGCTGGGTGCTGTGAGCATCCCCGGTGAAAATGTAGAAATGGAAACAGGGATTTTGTGGCTATTAAATGGGTGAAGAGGAATGCAAAGCCAGGTAATCTGATTCAAGATCTCCTGGACTGAGGCATTTACCATGCTGCCTCTGCAATTTAGGATACCAGTAACACCTATGCTCCACTGAACTGCTCCAATGGGAAGTGGGTAGTAATTTGCCTTGATCCTTCCTCCAGAGTCAGTGCCACCCTGTACTGTGGTTTTTGGGACTGAGGAAAGTCCTCCTGTACCTTTCCTTCCCTTTCCCACTACTGCCCCCTCTACTGATACACTCAGATTGCAGTTTCTTCCTTGTATAATTTAAGTCGGTTGAAAATGCATTTAACTTCCAAAGGGAGGCAGAGGGGAGAAGCAGAGATAACACAATGCTAGTAACGACTCTGAACATTATGGGAAACTACTTTTATTTGTTTCTGCAATCTCGTATTCTCATTTTCTAAATCAAACTACATCCTGAACTAAAAATCTTCATCCCTTGTTCCCTTCCTTCCTCCATAACTCTCTCAGATATTTCTTACTTGCTCCATTTCTTTATTATGTTTAGGGTTATGCTGGTTGCCAGGTTTGCAAGGATAAGTAAATGACTTTTTCCTTTCCCTTCAAGGACTTAGAGGTGGGAAGGGAGAGCAGACACATCAATGAAGTAGAGCCCACTCTGAGAGAGATTGGTACCAAGTATTGTCATTGATTTATCTTTTTGTGAAGATGAGGGAAAGTTTAAAGGAGGGTTATCTGTTTCTCAGGGAGAGAAACAGAGGAAGACTTCTTCCTTGAGGAGCAAGAGTAGAAAATTACATAAAGGGTGGGGTCAGGGAAGGGTTCACAAAAGTTGTTTGAGGAGGAAATAATAATCTAAGTAGAATAGCCAATTTCATGTACAGTGGGTTATGCCATTTCCTAGCTGTAGAATCTCAGAAAGTCACTTTATTTCCTGACTGAAGTGAGTCTGATGATATGACTTTCTCCATGGGACTAAGTCTAACATCTGTTTCTCATCCGCCACCTACATATGTCTTGCAAGGTCTCCTCATGAAGGTCTCGGCCTCATGTCATGTACCATAGAGGTCTTCAATGACCGCAACATCTGAGGGTGACTCCAGTCACTCTGTTGTATTTTCATTCAAAACATTGATTTGTTTACTTTATAATTTGCTGTCTCCCTACTTAATGTACTCAATATTTCTTGAATGAAGATAGTGTGTGCATATTTTAGCATAATACTTCACACATAGTGTTGATATATATGTATACACATATATGTAGTATATAGTAAGTATTAAACATGTATGTATACACATGCACTCAGACCCAAATGACATTCAAGTCCACGCTTTTTTTCTTTTATCTTTTTTTATTTATCAGTTTCTTGGTAAAATTCCTTCTGAGAAACTCCAATTCTGTCTTCCTTAAAGTTGAGGGAGAAACAAATTATCAATACCAGCGAGATTCAACCTTTTTTTATCTCATGGCATACATAAACTAATTACTAAAATTCTGTGGCATACCAAAAATATATTATATATTCAGCTGATCTGACAGCAAATATAGGTATAATTTTGATTGACTTATTTAAAAATGGTAATAATAGTAATTACCTATTTTTTTTGGTCCAAAGTGACTTTTTAAAAAATCAGGTGCCCATACTATATGTAAAGATTTCTGGTACCAAGAGCTAACCAATCAAATGCAACTTTATTATCAGACGTGACCAATAAGCCCTGGCTGGTGTGGCTCAGTGGATTGAGCACTGGCCTGTGAACCAAAGGGACACTGGTTTGATTCCCAGTCAGGACACATGCCTGGATTGTGGGCCAGGTCCCCAGCAGGAAGCGCACATGAGGCAATCACACATTGATGTTTCTCTTCCCCTCTTTTTCACTCCCTTCTCCTCTATCTAAAAATAAATAAATTTTTAAAATTAAAAAAAGACATGACCAATAAGATGCAACTTGATTATATGACATATATTTATGGTTCAGGACCAGGCATTCACACTGGATGATTGTTATTGTTGGCTGTTGCCATTTTTGACTTGCCAAAAGAAGGGGAAAAGATCAGTGCTTCTGACTAAATAGTGAGGTTTCCATGTTTTAAAAACTCTTACAGCAGGGTGGTTGAAAATCACTGACCTATATACCAAGACCAAGAGTAACTAGGTGGAAGAGAACACACCTAGAGTCTAGACCTGGAAGTGCAGATCTCTAGATTCCACAGGATTTTCAGACACTAGGATCTGAGACCCCAGCTTGAAGGAGTTAAAGTTCCTCCTTAATTATGTCACAGTTGGTTTTTTTTAACCTTCCATTTTGGCATTTTTGTTTCAGTGAAATAGGGTATAATCTGATCAAGTATCTTTCTATCCCCATT